AAGAAATCGAAGGATAAGCTACCTTTGAAAAGAAATGGGTTTGGTCTCAATTTTTGTGGCCATACTTGGACAACAAATTTTCTTTTCAGCTGCATGCTGCGAAAGTTCTTCAAGAAGGACCCGGAGATCCTCCATAGTTTGGTTGGTGTCTATGCCAGGGACATGGAGGACCTATTGTTGAACGGTGTTAGCAGTACGGACGGGCTGATTCAGGTTCGGTGCTGTCATTTGGGGACAAAGGGAGACCTCCCAGCTCTTGCTAAGCTGGGAAGAATGAATCATACGTTTGGGAATGTCCCAAAGAAAGCAGCATCAAAGAAACCTTGTGAGGGAATTTGTTGGATGTGCTGTGCTGGTCGTGAGTCCAATCCATCCCAGAATATCTCTGCTATCCCATTTGAAGACACCTCGGGTAAGCCTCTTTGGGAAGGAACGCTGGGTCAACAAGATGCATTTGATGGAATGCCTGCTATACTGGAAGGTGTTCCATTGCTAGAGGAGAACAGGTGGCAATTCTTCAAGACAGACCTCTGGCACAATTTTCACCTAGGTGTTGCCAAGCATTATGTTGCCAGCGCTCTAGTCTCAATCTTGGAAAACGTGGATCTTGAGGTTGGGTCAATGGATGACAAATTTGAAATCCTGAATGCAGAGTACAAACGCTTTTGCAAAGAAAAACGAATTAGCCCACACTGTGAGGAACTTGGACGGGACTCTTTAAACTGGTACCAATCAACTGCTTGCCCTATTGGGTCATGGAACAAAGGGAGTGCAAGTACTCACTACATGTTGTTTCTCGAGTATTTGTGCAAAATATGGTCTGACAAGTTTGGGGATGATCCTTTGCTTCAAACCATTGCCACTGGGATGGATTGGGATTGTTTCTTTGGTGTTTGATCCTATTCAATAAACATAGATGTTGATTACCACCACAAAAAGTTTCAATAGTTTAATTTGTGTTTGTTTTTTTTCTGGGGGGAAGCCCAAGGGTTTTATCCATTTGATGTTGTTGGTTTGCCCAGGTGACTGCAACTTCAGCTATGAATACAGCAATATCGGCTATGTACCATGAAGGCTTCTTCATTCGATGGCCCAGGGCCTTGAAGATTTCAAAGTTATGGCTTCTTTTTTTGCAAAAGTATTCGCAAGCAGTCTCCATAGTCTATCGACGTGGTTTGAATCGCTTCGCCATCATCCCGAAATTACACATGTTGCACCATGGTGCTTTGAAACTGTTGAGGGAGTCCCAAAGGGCCCAAGAGGATGGAACAACATGGACTATTAATCCATTAAGTGAGTCGGTGCAAATGCAAGAAGATTGGATTGGGCGACCAAGTCGATTAAGCCGTCGGGTAGCTCCTAGGCGGGTCCACTTTCGTGTTTGCCAAAGAAGTTTGATTTCCGTTATGCAATTTCTGAAAAAAGCTGATAAAGATCAGCGGGGGTTGTTTGCTGCTACGCGTCGCGCAGTTGTTTAGCTGCCTGTGGATGGCCCTGATGATGGATACGACTAACATACTAACCATGCAATGTACCATCTTAGATACCTGAACATTTTTTGGTTCTTACTCTTACAGGGCTGCTGTGTGCAGAGCTTCAGAGAACTTGCTTGAGACATTGGGGTCCAGGCCAAAAGTCGGACGAGCGAGTGAGGGCGGTGCTGGTTTAACCCATTTTAGTTTGTATGAGAAGCGTATTTTTATATATTAATATATTTCATGTGGCCAAGATTGACAAAGTATCTTCTCCATCTCTCAGTGTTGACAACTCAAGGGTATGTTTCATGAATTCAGAAATTCCCAAAAAATGGTGTTTGGGAAAAGGGCCGTACTTTTCAAAGAGGGCCGTACTTTGTGAGAATCTCGGGTCTGACCCATTTCTGGGGGACAGATGGGTTCTAGGTATTGTCATATCATGGGCGCTGTGTGGCGTTATGATTGTATGGTCAAAAGTGTGGAAACCGATCTCATGGACCCTGGAGGGGGGGTAGGGGGGGGCAGTAGCTTATCATATAAGAGCCTAATAAAAGCTTATCAGATATCCCCAACGCCAGGGAAAACTGTCTTTATTTCCTAGTCCAACCATGAATGAAACAAGAGATCCTTATCCACGGTTTGTTCAGGGTTGGTTGAAAACTGATAAGGGCTTATTAAGGGCTTATCCAGGGCTTAAAGATAAGCCTTGGATAAGCCTTGGATAAGCCTTGGATAAGCCTGTTTCCCAACCTAATTTGCCAACCCCCCCCCCCCTCCAAAATCCCCCAAAATCCCCCCAACCCCCAGCGTCCCCAGCCACCCTCCGATCCTCACCCAAACCTTCCAAGATCCTCCCCAGGCCCTTCCCCTCCGCAGACTCTCCCATACCTTGGTCCTAGGCTCCTTAACCAGGCCTTGTTCAGAGCTTGACGGATAGGCATCTATTAAGCTTCTAATAAGCGCTTATTAAGATGTTATTAAGCTTCTAATAAGGGCCTTACACAGAAGCCCCTAATAAGCCTTTATATGATAAGCTACTGCCCCCCCCCCTTACCCCCCTCCAGGGTCCATGACGATCGTGACGATCGCTACGATCGTTCTACTCTGAATGATTGTTGGAGATTGTAAGTGTTCAGCATGAGAAATTGGCAGAACTTCAGGACACTTAAAACTCAAACTCAAGTGACTTCCAACGATGCGGCTTCTCCGGGTTTGAGATGTAGTTCAAAGAAAGGAAGGACCAGGCCCTTTCGAATGAATGAATTTAGTAAAGGTCTGGTGTTCAGACTTCTTAAATCCTTTAGGATGCCATTTTTGGCAAATAATTTTTTTTAATGATTTATTTATGATTTGAATACGATTTCCATTTATGATTTTTTTATGGGTTCAAATTGTGGTTATGATTTTTTTATGGTTTGGATATGTTTTTTTTTATGGTTTTGGATATGAATTTTTTATGATTTGTTTATGGTTTTTTTAGTCCTCAGAATCTGGTTTTCAGCTAAAAACTAGAGAAATTTTCGATTTTTTTATGATTTTGCTAGAGTTTCCTTTTCCCCAAAGCCTTTTCAGCAGAAAATTTGATTTTGGAAGCAAAATCGTAAAAAAATCGTAAAAAAATCGCAAAAAAATCGTAAATGCATCCAAGGTCCCCAGAATCTGGTTTTCAGCTAAAAACTCGAGAAATTTTCGATTTTTTTATGATTTTGCTAGAGTTTCTCTAGGAAAATCGTAAAAAAATCGTAAATGCTTCCAAGGTCCCCAGAATCTAGTTTTCAGCTAAAAACTCGAGAAATTTTCGATTTTTTTACGAGTATTTTACGATTTTCGTAGAATTTCCTCTTCCCTGAAGTCTTTTCCACCAGAAAATTTGATTTTTACAGAGAAACTCTAGCAAAATCAAAAAAAAATCGAAAATTTCTCGAGTTTTTAGCTGAAAACCAGATTCTGGGGACCTTGGATGCATTTACGATTTTTTTACGATTTTTTTACGATGTTTTTACGATTTTGCTTCCAAAATCAAATTTTCTGCTGAAAAGGCTTTGGGGAAAAGGAAACTCTAGCAAAATCATAAAAAAATCGAAAATTTCTCTAGTTTTTAGCTGAAAACCAGATTCTGGGGACCTTGGATGCATTTACGTTTTTTTTACGATTTTTTTACGATTTTTTTAACGATTTTGCTTCCAAAATCAAATTTTCTGCTGAAAAGGCTTTGGGGAAAAGGACACTCTTGCAAAATCATAAAAAAATCGAAAATTTCTCGAGTTTTTAGCTGAAAACCAGATTCTGAAGACTAAAAAAACCATAAAAAATCATAAAAAAATCATAAAAAAATCATATCCAAAACCATAAAAAAAACATATCCAAACCATAAAAAAATCATAACCACAATTTGAACCCATAAAAAAATCATAAATGGAAATCGTATTCAAATCATAAATAAATCATAAAAAAAAATATTTTGAAACCCCGTCATCCTAGAGACTTAGGAACTCTGAAGTCTGGTGACTATGCCACAGGCGTGGCGAGCCTGGCGGGATGCTTGATGTGTCCCTTTCCTTCCCTTTGGGCATCATTTATGGCATGAAAAATAAATCACAAAATGAAATCCCACTGCCATTTCCAGATCCCAGTCCTTCATGGAACGGTTTGCACCAAGGACATTGTGAGATAATCCTTAACACGCATCGGTGAACAGTGGCAGCCACCCGCCGTGGCGAAGTGCCATCTCAGTCATTGCTGTCATTCGATGTGTCTTCTGCAGAGAGAGAGAGAGAGAGAGAAAAAGGAAACAAAATCTATTGTGAAAAATGAAGATGAATGGAGTCTAGGATGCCGCTGCTACAAGTCTTTTGGCTGAAGCCTCGTGAAATTACAATGAAGGTGTTGCCGACACAACGTCGTTCAAAAAAAAGGCTGCCCCCATTGTCAAGTTAAACTTGTTGGCAAAGGGAGTTCGTTTGTAAAGAGCCCTTTGAAGCAGCTTCTCACATTTATCAAAAGACCATGGAGACCTGAAGGCTTCGGGATTAGTTGCATCAGTTGCTTGGGACCAATCTGACTGCTGGGGTGCTGTGTTATCTCAGTCGGGGCTGTATCCATAGCCCAAGGATGCTCATGTTGATCAAGCAATGATCAACATCCACAAACTGACAGCTTGAAGCCAAGCTTGGAAGAATACGAATCCAGAACCGCTGTCACCAGGATCTGAGCAGAAAACACGTGTCTGCTCGCCAGGGTTGTTTCTTTTAGGTTTTCATTGCTCCTTATGTGGTGAAGTTACGTAAAGTTTAGGTATGTAACTACATTATAAAGTTATGTAAAGGTTATTTAAAAAATCAAAAACAAAACACCACCTGCGGCTTCCGTCCATGTGTCGATGAACTCGCTGACGGATACCTTTCCTCAGCACTGAGGTGCAAAGAAAATGAAGTGCCAAGGGAGCTTTGACTCATCACTACTTTGTTCATTCCTATCACCTTTTCGGTTGAACATTCTCTTGTCATGCAACACCTTCCTGTATCTCTAAGCCTCTAAGCAATTCGAGCGCGGCATGCTCAAATCATTGTTGCTGCAAAAGACTATAGAAAAATATAAAGACCATCTGTCTCTAAGTGCAAGTCGGTACGGTGAGACAGCCGCTGAAATGTAGCAAACAGCACAGTTGTGGTGTCTTTGGCACGGCCATTTTTCCCCGGAGCTTCCCAACACTCTGCGGTTATCATAACTGTGCGATACTTTGGGTAACAGCCACAAGACTAGCACAAGCCCCTCACCCTGTTTCAAATCTATGGGAAGTATTGCCAAGTTTCCGTTTTGATCCCTGTCCAAACCTTGCATAAGCTGTTGGCACTCTTGTTGTGACAAGTCACCTGCACCATTCATGGTCAATTTCTGCCAATGCTCTGCCAAGCCAGAATGTAATGTTTTTGGAATATTTCAATTTCCTACCTTGGCATTTCGTCTGTCTGTGGATGGATGATTCCTATTGATTCCTAGATGATGTAGGGCAAGTCAAGCTGTTTCAAATTCATTGCAGGTGCGGAGTTCAACCAAAGCTTCTCTCTGTTGAGGGCAGTGAGGCAAGGTAGATGACAGCTGGGGCAGTTGGCGCTCGATGCCCTTGCATCGCCCCCCGGCATTCCTGACCCCCCTCGCCTTTGGCCACAGCTTCCAGCACATCTCTGAGTTCTGTTGCAGAGAGTTTACCATCGCCATTGGCATCGAACTTTTTGAAGACCTTAGTCGTCCGGCTTCTCTTTGGGCATGAGACGTAACAAAACTTATTGCTGACGAAGCAAAAGATCAAAGGTTCTTTTCTGCAGCAATAAGGTTTGCCCAACTTTTCTTTTGGTCATAAATTTCCTGGCGTCAAGAACCGCCACGTTCACGAAGGAGTTCCTGTTCAGACTTGCTGACATGTTGTGAATATATGTCTGGTCTAATATTGTGAATTGATGTGTGCAGCTCTGGAAGGATCCAAGATACGGATTTCAGCTTCTTGATCTTCGCATCAGTCGCGGCGTTGAAATCTTTCGGCTCAGTGGCCTGCCCTCCTGGTGTTTGGCAATGCTTACGGATCATGAACTGGCTTGGTGGTTGCGACCTATCTGCGGAGATACAGAATAACCAAACACCGGCATCATGCTACCTCGAACACTCATTGAGCATGTCTTGTTGTGTCCACTACCAAGAGTGTGGGAAAACAGCAATGATGTGAACAACGAACAGAAAAAAAACACGTGCTCTTTGCTGAACAATTTCCTTTGCAACCTGGACCACCCCTTTTTGCGTCAATTTGGAAGGCACAGCTGCTCGAGTTAGACATCGAAAAATGATGAAAACGGATAGCGAACACTAGAAGGCTGTTGTTTTTCCTTTTCTTTTTATTTGAGTAGCTTCAGCATGATTCACCCACATCCAGGGAATTCTGAGCTTGTCGGTGAGATTGAAATCCAAAATCCGACTCAGAATGGTGGAAACCGTGGAAACCCATAGTTTTCTGTGAAACCCTGGGGGTCCAATTTGAACGGTGTCTACATGGTTCTGCATAGCTCAGCCTTGATGGGTTCTTCAACAGGTCTCCTTTCTGTGCAGAGTCTGACTTCGTTGCTTTGCCGCTGCCTTTGTGCCAGACACACTGCAACGTGTCTCCTAAACCTGTTTCAGCTGAGTTTGAAAATTGTTGTAAATCCTCACAACTCTGAGACATGCCGTGCCACGGAAGGCAGAGATTGTCTCAAATGGTTTGCGGATGTGGCTAACCATGCATGTACCTTCAACTTCGCACAAACATCATGAATAGACTTGATGATCCCCTCTTCAAGGGTTACCATGCCGTGTTCCGGCTGAGAAAAGGCCAGGATATGCCAGGATGGGTTTCGACGATTTCCACGAGTTTGACATACGATGGAATGGCATAGACTTGGCTCATCTTGGCTCATGACTCATGAGAATTGCTATCCTCCTTTTTCCACCAAAGGGAAGTTTTTTTCCTGATAAGGTGCCTTTCCCAGATAGCAGCCGCGGTCTAGGTCAATCAAGATTTCTCTCTCTATCCAACCAAAAAACACAATCAGTCACGTCTGTCCCTGAGTGACCTGCACCAAGGGCTACAAGTAGTACTCGTCGGGAACCATGAAACACGATTGTGCATCCACCACAAGTCTGTTCACCAACTCCCAGGGCCAGGGGTCACCATTGTCACCATCCAAAGAACACGACTTTTTCGGCAAGAAACTTTCCTTTGCAGGCTCCAGCTCCTCTGGCAGAGCCGAACTAAGAAACCATTCCATGGTCGATACATGCTACATGTCTAGAACATGTCTACAACTACACCTGGACCTGTTTGTTTCCCGTGTTTCCATGAAATTCTTGGTCCATGACCGCTACATACCGCTACTTCAGCCTTAGAATCTGGACTTTTGTGACATGTCGCCATTCAACTCAGCATCCATTGCCGTGTCCTCTGGCGTGAAGTACCACGGACCAGCACTAAATTTCACCTGAACCACAATGCTGCGTGGCTACTCAAATCTCATAGCTTCATAGCATCTCCCAATGGAACATACCCATTCACTCAATCGGAACACTTGAGTCAAAAAAGTCCGGATATGTCCGGATCCCATGCCCTCTAGTGCAAGGCCTGTGCTCGACTCATTTCTTGTGTGACACCCTTTGCACATCTTTGCACCGCTGTGTGAACCTTAACCCGCAAGAGTCAAGAAATATGGTCCGAATACCGCACCTGCACTTTGTGCTCTGAGAAATTTCCAGTCACCTGTCCAACGTCGCCCTTTGCAATGTGCGAGGTTTCTGGGTGAGTCAGTTGAACCGCTGTGCCCTTTTGGACGTGCAAAGGTCTCCTGAGAGAAGCCAGGCGCTTTAAGACAAGCACAGAAATGAGCCCAAGCGCGGCCCCTGCTAACCTGCCTAGTAGGTCAATATATTATATGTATATCAGTATATCAATCAGTACTCTGTGTCCTCCCTCCAGAAACACCGCATTTCTGCCAGTTAAGAGGAATATAAAAACACATTGAAACTATTCAGAAAGGCCTCAGTTCGGTATGGACCAAAAACACAAGACTGCAGAAGGCAGTACCTTCAGTACCTGCTTAAAGCTATCTTGATTATCTTGCACACCAGCTTCGTTGCTTTTGCCACGGCTGCGAATCCTACCACTTGCTGAAGTTTCTGGGACGTCCTTATTCCAAAATAGGAATTGTTCACTGTTTCTATCAAAGTATAGACTGTCCATCCCATTCAAATATCATTTCCCAAATCAAAGGATTAATTTCAACGACTTGATCCCGGTCTCTCTCAAGCCGAAGGGTCAAAGCTGAAAGGACAAAACGCCAAATACCACCGTGGCCACCAGGAAATTGCACCGAAACCTTGCCACTCTCAGCGCCTTTTTGAACTTCTCCGATGATGTGTTGTTCCTCAGGCGGTCGCATAAGAACTGGCGCACGGCTGTTCTCAGCCTTTGGTGAGCAACCTACAGCAGTCTCTCCTGTAGATCTGCAGGCTATGTGCCAAGGTGAGTTTGCGCCTGGAAATGATGCATCTCTGATTGAAGAGGGGCAATCATTCTCTGATCTCGTCCAACACAATAGATCCCCCAGGTGTCAGAAAGTCCCTTTACCAATACCAAAATGCATTGACACGCAATAAATGAATGATAATGCATGCCCAATTTAGCTACAACAAATACCGTAATACAGAGTCGTACCGTCTTACCGTCGTTTGCCATTGCGGATTGCTGGCAACAGGCATAGGTAACTGTACATCAAGCGTGGAAGGGCCCAGCCCAGGGACCCAATAAATATTCAGCACCACTCATCATCTGCTGGAATTCATCGACAATAGGTGCATGTTTTTTTGGGTAATGTGGACTATATAGTGTGGTGACCGGCTGTTTGTGGGTGCAAAAACGCTGATTGGTGGCAGTTTGTATACTGACATCTCCGATCGTGCCAAAGCCAATTTTGGGTCACTGTCTTGCTACATCTACAACTTTATAGTTATATAATATATGGATATATATGGACCAAACATGGGATCAAACTATGCACGAAGATCACACTAGGATCACTAAGCACGGTGTGTCAGGCACTGCTGTCGAACCCGCACACCGATGAGTTGGAATCTAAGAGATTTTGATAGATTTTGTATTGCAAGCGCGTTGCCCGTGGTGGGCATTTGAGCAGCTCTGACGGCTTCTTGGACATCAGCTTGCCTGGAGCAAGAATAGTGATGAAACGTGGCCCCAGTGGTCTGGGGTGCTTTGCTGCGCAATTTGAGGTGGGGGACAGAAATAAATTGATAAGGCTGATAAAATAGTAAGGCAAAATTTGCATCTTCTACACTTGCCTTTGCTGCTAGATAGCAGAAGTTCCCAAGTTCAAGTTGGGGGCAAATGAAGCTACACAGCTTACTCTCCTCCCTGGCAAAGGTACTGGCCCGCTCATCCATTTGACTCACTCACTCGATATGACCCAAAGCACCCTTGAGTTTTGCAGCCTCCGGAGGTTTGGAAGCAAACGAACCGTAATCACCAACCGTAATCACCAATGAACTCTGAAAAAGAAGGAAGTGCTGCTCTCCCATATTGTCCCCACCCATGATGCCTTGAACTTCAACCTGGAAGCACTCGGTTGTGGCACCTTTCACTTCACCTGGGCACATGCCGTTGATAGATGATGGTTGAATGTGGTGAGAATTGGTTCATATCGTTGCACATTTTGCATCAGCAGATTCATGACGTTTCAAGCACCAGTGTTCCTCTTCGTCAGATGATTCTAGGCTCAGCCAACTACAAACAAAATCCATGGTGTGGGCTTGACATGTCCCATTGTCCCATCATGTCATGTTGACAGCAGCTTGTGTTTGCTGCGAAACTTCTGCACAACCATAGCAGAAGGGAACCTCCTGAAACATCTCTGAGTTACAGCCCTCACACACCCGCGTTCTCTCGCAACGGTAATCACATATCACATCCTGCATGCCGAACCTCACTGTCACACACACAATATATATATATATATTATATTTATATAATATAATATATAATATAATATATAATATAATATATAATATAATATATATAATATATATATATACACATATATAAAATATATGTAATAGAGATTTATATTTATTATATATATATCGAATATTTAATCGCATCTGAGTTGCCTTTTTTGTCCTGTGCTGTAGCTATGCCTGTTGAACTTTAGTGCCGGGCCTGTTGAATGACACACCTAAACAGGCACGCCACATGTCTTAACCTGGCTTTGGTATTACACCTGCTCCGTCTACAGGTATCCGCATGGATTTGCAGAAATCCTTCAGAAGTTTGGCATTCCATTTCCCAATCGCCCGAGCCCTGTGCAGCACAAGTCACCAACAACATCAAAGGATTCTGTTCCAGTCACATGGACCTGTCCCCACTTCTGCAATTCTGCTAGACGAAGGTCAGCAAGTGCCACCGTGCGGTAGGAACTGAGACCGGACATGCAACCGCTGGTTGGGGTCCGGGAACTTGTCGCCATGGGCTGCAACATCTTGGAATATGTTGTTTTTATAAAGATAATGTAGGCAAATGTCAACACCAAAAAAATGTAGAGTACACTGCGCAGGATCTTGCAATGGACTTTCCGATACCCAAACATAATTTTCGTGCGCTGATTCTGCATGAAGTAAACTCCATGGTATGCTGCATGCTCGCTTCGCACTTCCCTGGTGGCTTTGAATCACCAATGATTCATGGACATTCAACGGCATCGACTACATGTATGCTGATGCTGATAACCTGGCACTTCTGCTGAACGACTTGTACTGTGAAAGGGCCTTTGCGCTTTGGGATCTGCATCCAAGGAGCTTTCCCGAAGGGCCGCTGAAGAGACAGTAGGCAGATCCATCCTGATCCAGGACAATGTCAATGTAAATCACATGGTTGCAAAACATGGTTGCACAATGTTTCAAATGGAACAGAATTTAGCAAAAAATCGGGCAGTGAAATCAAAGACCTTCATACACAAAAGAAATCAAAACCTTCAAAAGCAGGTGAAGGTCCCAAAATGCACAAGCTTGTCACGAAGAGGTTTCCGAGCATATCCGAGCATCATCTTCCATTGACGGTCTTTCAATGGATCTTACTTCTCCCAATTCTTCATGCTCGACAGAACCAGCTCGGGAGGTGACACGCACCAAACAGCCAACCTGCAGGGCCATGTCACCGTGTCACAGCTAGGAAAATATCAATATCATTGTCATCTGTCATCCTGGAGAAGTTCCATGTCTCGAATCACGGTGAAAAATGACTAAAAATGAAACCTGAAACACAAATACCTTCCATGTCTCCTTTGCTGCAACTTGAACAAATCAGAGACACCAAGAGATAGGGTGGGGTATCCAGCCCTTTGGAGTTCATCTCTATCAACATTCTAGAGGAAGGAACCATAACAACCCACATCCAGAACTGCAGTCTCGACGGCCCGCATTTTTTTCTGAGGCATTGTTAAGCTTCAGTGGAACAAGTGAGTCAAGTGAGTGGCTCAGCCAGTTGTCTCACTCAACTTCACTCTTTCGGCATTCTTCGGGTCATTAGATCTGGAAACCTCCGAGGCTGAGGCATGGTTGTCAGCCCGTCCCATCGCCTGGCTTGGCAACCAATTGGTCTGCTCCTTCGAAATCGCTTGTTCAGTTTGAACAACTAACTCAGAAATGTTCTCAGTTGAAGCCTTTTCAACCTCACTGAGATGCTTCCACCAGTTAACAAGCTGGGACATGGTTCGAACGGCTCGAGTATAGCGCTCCACTTTACTTCCAGCGTCAACAAACTCAGACCAAGTCGTAGCGGCTGATGAAAAAGCCGTGATCAAAACCACGGCATCTGCCTCCCCAAATCTGGCCAGGACTGCGGCACAAATCGTGCATGTCAGAACAAGAACTTTGAATATGAAGGCATGGCACGCATACTTCGGAATTCTCTTCTGGTACCACGCCATTCTCTTTAACAATCGAAATTGAAGATAGAGCTCAGGCTGCACTGGGGAATAGTGATCATCAATAAAAGCCACAGTTTGGACTTCCTCTCCACGCCGTTGTGCGCTTTTGAAATCACCTGTGCGTTGCAGGTGCCTGTCGATGGATGGCGGATATGATCGACTCCACGAACTGCGAACTAGGTCAGCAGATGACATAAGATCTTCAGTCCATTCATTGAGCCGCTTGCATAATGTGAGTTCTGGACTCCGTGGGTTCAGATCTGGAGCCATTCGAAACTCACCAACACGAGCACGGTAAAACCAAATCAAAGACTCTAAGGACGAACTCGCTTTTCGCAATGAATGCCATCGTGGTTTAGGCCTTAGGACGCCATCAATAGAGACAGCACCACCGTGGAGGACGGCTAGCAAAAACACAATGTCAGTCGCTGATTCCAGCTCCAGAATTTTGAATTGCACCTGTGAAACCAGAATCACGAGAAAAGCAACCGATAACTGCAGAAGGTACAACATCTTCGTAACTAACTTGTATCGGTTTGCCAAGTAATCCGCTATGTCACACTCGCACCAGGCCTCCTGCAATAGCTGCAAACCCTCCAATGAATTACTTTTCGGGAGTCTGTCTGTCTGAACCAAAGCATTCAAGCTTCGCTTCGCAGTATCGACATCGTGGATATTGGCGTGATGAGTGTGAGAATTCTTGAGCAAGTTCCTGGCACGGGCCGCGTACTCAGCCACCTTCTTTGCATGCAACTGTTTGAAGAAAATGTCAGCTTTCTGCGCTTCGGTCAAGCATTCCCAGCAATCATGGTACCTTGGTTGGCCAGTGTGAGCACATACGAATAAACCTTTTCAGTTCCTAGTAGACTACACCGACAGTGGGCATCCAAACGAGTTGAAGATCTTAGTATATTTCATTTCGACATGACCCTTGCAGTCCAGGAAAGAGTCCTGCCCCTAATATTTTAAATCCAAATTGGGGGCCTAGACCACACAGCGGAGTCTTCATCTCATCACACAATCGAAGGGTGCAGCCCGCTTAAGCACATTCTTCAACACAAAATCAGCCCTGCAGGTATAGTGGGTCACAACATTCAAAGGGAAACCGAGCTTATCAAAACATTTTCATAAAGCAAAAGAAAACCTGAGATAAAACCACTTGTTGATATTGTAATGGGTCCACATCTTGTACCTGAAGTTGTGCCCCATGATTTTGTACTGCGTGTTTTCCCCATTTGTGCTGTGTGTGTTTTCCCCATTCTTCCAATCAAACATGATCAATTCATGGGCTTGCCTTTGCACTGCCACATCAGTTTGCAGTGCCATTCCCAGATTCTTCTGCTAACGTAAAACTTAACATATTATTGCATCATCAATTCTAAAAAAATATGCCGGCAAGAGACCCCAAACAGTGTGTGTGTGTGAGAGGAGAGTGTATGATCATGTTAAGGACAAGGACGACGACGACGACGACGATGATGATGGTCATGATCATGGTCATGATCATGGTCATGATCATGCTGATGATGATGATGATGATGATTGTTGAAATCAAGTGTACAACTTCCTTGTCTGTACTCTCAGCAGCTGTAGCCCACGCGCTGTACTTTTCACTGTAGCGCTCGAGTAACGCTAGCTCAAGGCTAACTCAAGGGCCCTGTATGGAGCCCAAATGTATCGTACCATGACATGTACTCAGAGTAGACCAACATGTTGTATCAGCAACTGTATAGCTCAAGTACATGTGCAGGTGTATTCTTAACACCCTGCCTCAACTGCAACATGTACTTCACAAACATTGAAAGAATCATTGTATAACTGAACTGTATTAAATCATGTAAGACATCAGTCATCTGTACAAAACTTTGCCTTCGAAAATCCTGTACATCGATCGAAAACGTAGTGCCGTGTTGATGTACAGACATCTTGTAGCCAGAATTGTGTCAGATGGATGTATCCATGCAGAGTTACTCACATGTAGTCAGAAACCGTTGTAAAAGAACTGTAGCAGTATCCAACCATGTACTTCACAAATTCAGATTTATAGAACATCTCATGTAGATGCGGCTCAGCCTGTAGTCTCCACAGCATCTGTAGGCTCTTCTGGAATGTCTTCGATGCCTGTAGACGATTCATCAATGGGCTGTACCTGAGGTGGCAATTGGGCGCCAGGAGTGCCCATCGGCACTGTACCCGATCCTGTCTGTGGGATATTCACGTTGTATTTTGAGATGTAGCTCACCACCTTGTGGAGCTGATCTGTAGGAAAGTGCTGTAGCACTTGGGCCCCATGCCAGCTCAGTGCCATTGTCAGTCCTGCATGGACTGGATCTGTCTCGTTCAGTGTATCGAGGATTGTAGACACATGTAACGGGATGTGCTCAAGAAAGAGGTACCCGTTGTCAAGGCTGTAGCGGCTGAGAATGTCAGCCATGTTGATCTGCACCCGGAAGATCCTTGGTGAATTGATTTCCCTTTGAGAAAAGCTGTACACCATGTTCTCCAGAAATTGGACTCTCATGCCAACGAATCCCCTATTGAAAACGTTGACCATCTTGTTGTACATCAAGGCGGTCAGTCGAGCCAATTCCGGGGTGTACACCTTCACATAGAATTCATCTGTGTACTGGGTCTTGATGTACCCGTGATACACCAAGAAAATCAACCAGGTGATCGCGTCATGCATCGAAAAATGTCCCATTGTCATCCCGTACGTGCCCTGTGGACGAATCTGGGCATGCTTGTACCCTTCGCCGCGGCCACTCATGTAATGGCCTTTGGTCAATGGAATGTACAACGTATCCACTGACTCATCGATGGGTTCTGTACTGCGAAGGTCTGTAAATTCGTCCCTAGCTGTAACCTCGTGCATCTCTCCGAGGTCATAGAGGCACCCTAAATCCGCTCCGGTGTAGAGGGATTTGTAGGGCTGTACGCCCGTGACGCCGGTCATGCGTGCCATGGCTGTATCCGAGGCTGTAGCTAAAACCAGGGCTTGCACCTAAAAAGTCGGACGGCGCGGCCAGCAAAGTGTATCGCCAAAACATGTACTGCAAAACGACAGTGAAAAAGAAAACGATCATGTAACCCTTGGGGTGAATGATGTAGTGAAAAGAAGTGATCATGTACGTGTCAAACTGTGTAGCAGTGACCATGTAACCCTTAAGGTAGACAAACGTGTACATGACATATTCAAAGAAGTAGGCTGCAGATACGTGTACACTTGTTGTGTTCGTATGCTGGTGTGTGAAACTGCTGTAGCTGGATTCTCCTCAATTGTCTGGCGGACGTATGCCCGCAGCATGTAAGTGCCATTGAAGCACTTCTCGTTGTACGTATTTTGTAAGTATGTCTGACGGATTGTGTTTGGTGTTGATTTTGTGTATGGAAAGGATGCCGTCGTGAATGAGGTGTTGTATGAACATGTATTTGAGTTCGATGTGTTTGGCTCGCTTGGACACGCCAATGCGTGTGGCCATGCTTTTGCCTGATGTGCTGTCAGTGTGTATTTTGAGGCTGATCTTGTTGTGTAGGATCTCTCCCAAGAAGTTCTTGAGGTGTAATGCCTCTGTAGCACCTGTACCAATCGCGTAGAACTCGCTTTCTGCTGAAGAAAGTGCTACTACGGATTGTGTACGTGAACCGAAGTGGACTGTAGTCCCAAGGAATTGGATCACGAAGCCAGATGTACTTTTGCGTGTAACCTGGCATCCTGCCCAGTCTGCATCTGTGTAGACTGTCAGGTCGAGCTGTTCCTTGTTGTTGGGCTGTAGAAACACCGTTGGTTGTATCACGAACTTGTGGTGCTTTGTACCTGCTAGGTACCTGAGGCAATGTCGTAGCCGCTGTCTGTCGCGGACTGTTGGTTGTTGTAAAGAATGCGCTAGTTCTTTTACTGCAAAGCTCATGTCTGGTCGTGTGTATGAAAGCCATTGCAGCTTTCCGACCATACGCCTGTAGTGGGCGTGCTCTTCTGTGTCAAGGAGTTCATCCTGTTCTGTTGTAGGTGTAGTGCTGTTGGAACCTGTAGTGACGGCTGCTGTTGCATTTTGTAGGTTTGCTTCTTGTAGGATGTTGTCGATGTAACTGTTTCCCAAAGAGACTTCAAAGTGATCTCCTTTGTTTGTAATCTTCCTTCCAAGGAAGTCAATTGTGTTGTTTGTTGTGCAAGTGCCTGTATGGCGAAGCAACATCTTGGCCTGTATCTCCTTGAAAATTCGAGCGACCTCATCAGGTTCTCCTGTAAAGAGAAGATCGTCAACATAGACCATGATGTAAACTTTGCCATTGGTGTAGACATTGGGCTCTGATTGTAGTCTTTTTAGACCGAGGTCTGTAAGCACTTTTGCTAAGTGCTCCTGCCATGCTTTCGGGCTGCTTCGTAGACCATACATTGCTTTGTGTAGCCTCCAGAGAATGTTTGGATTGGTGTAGTACTCCTTTGGTGGTCTGAGTACCATGCCTGCTGTTGCTGCGAGTGCATGTAAGAAAGCGGTAGATATGTCACCTACCTGTACAATCCATCCTCTGGCCATGCTGAGTGCTAGGAGTATCCTTAGCACTGCAAAGAGTGGTGTACTTGCGTACACATCATCTTGGTCTTCGATGTGTTCGGTGTACCCTTTTGCTACGATCCTTGCCCGTACTTCATCTCCTTTGGATCTGTAGACCCATCTTGACTCGATGATGTTGTCGAGATCAAGTTCTTGTCTTTGTTGAGGTGTAAGCTTTGTAACATCTACCTCCTCGTACACTCCTTGTGTTCTCATGGATTCCATCTCCTTTTGCATCCCTTGCTTTAATTTCTCTGTATCGAATCCTTCGTTGTTGTAGATGTGAGGCTCGAGTAGCCTCTGTTCTGCTCGTACCTCCTGTGGATCTTCACTTGTTGCTGTTGTAATCTTCTTGCCACTCTTCAATGCAACTGTAACTGCATTGATTCTCAATCTTGGTCTTGTACTGTCTCTTTCCTTTGTCTCTTCTGGTCTCGCTGGTGCTTGCTGTGTTGTACTTTGCTTTCTGCTCTTGCTTGCACTTCCTTCATGTACTTGGTCGTCCACTGGTCTGGTTGGTGAGCCTGTTGGCATTGGTGATGTTCCCAACCTCATTGCTGTAGAGTGTGTTGACGTTGATGCTGAAGCTGTGCTTTGATGTTGTTCTTCGACTCTTTGTTTCTTTGTTGTCTCTGTTCTTGCTTTCTTTGCTTCTGTTTCTGCTTCCTTTGTGTTGGTAGCATGCTTTGCTGCTGGTGTTGGTTGATTGCCTGTACTCGTTTCTTCGTGTGGTGTTTGCCCTGCCTGGACTTGTTGCTCTGTTGCTGCTGGTGTTGGTGGTAGTATGAAAGCTGGCTGGAATCCAATTGGTGGTGTAGGATTCCATGGTGTGCCAGTGATTGTGTCCATCAATTGAGCATCGTACCTGTTTGTACCTGCTAGTCGTCTGATTGTACGTGAGCGTACAAGTCTGCCTGCAATGCCAATGAAGGACTCTCCAGTGGATGTACATTTGCCGAGCCAAATGCCTTTGTAGAACCTGGGTTCAAGCTTTGGTCGTTGTTTGATCGACTGTACCATGTACATCACAGTCTCTCCAAATTCACAGAGAGCTGCATTGTGTGTTCGTCCCCATCTTTTGTGGTAGCTGGTGTAGCCATCTGCTCTGATGAGGAATCTGTTGATCAGGTATGCTGAGTGTCGTACTGCCCAAGCCATGATTGGGTGTGTTGTCGGCAGTCTTGTGTTGTAGTTCTGCTGTACCTGTGTCCTGAGTGTCCTGATGTGGCCAGCAAGTGTACGGTGGAATCTTTCGATGCTGCCACTGCTTTGTGAGCTGTATGCTGGTGCAAAACGCACTGTCATGTTGCCTGTTGCTTTAGCTGTAGCTCTAAGGAGCGCCATCAAGTATTCTTCTTGGTCACTTTGTAGTATGCCTTCTGCTCTTCCACATTCAAGAATGAATGCTTGTAGGCATGCCTGTGCATAGGCAAACTGTCCTTTCTTGTCCGTAAGCATTGTTGCCATTGCCATGCCGGTCTGTATGTCTATGGCTGTCAGGATTGGTACCGGCCATTTGTCTTCATAGGTCTTGATGTAGGTGAAATCAACTTGTATGACTGGCTGTTTCGATGTTTGCTGTTGGTGGCTTGTCTGTCTGCCGCGAGATTGTATGCACACAGGACACCAACTCCTGTATGGCATGTGTGTAAGGTTGTGCTGTTGTATCTCCTGCGGTGTAGGTTGTACCGGTTGCATCATTGCTTTCGCTTTGTTTGCGCTCTGTTGTTCATCTTCTTCTTCTGTTGGCATTTCTTCTCTGTATTCTCTTCTTTCTTCAAAGGTTGTAGATCCTGTCCATTCTTGTTGTCTTGTTGGTTGTGGTTCTGTAGTCCAATCGTCTTCGATTCTTCTCATGTTGTGCTCCTCTCGTATGTGTGTTGCTCTGTATGGGAGCAGTTTGTAGACATCTGGTCCATTGTCTTCAGGTGTCGGTGTATAGAACTCTGTCCTTGGTCTCACATGTACTCTCTTCCAAAACCTTCCTTCTTTGATCCAGTAGTCTGTTGTACCATCCATCTGCATTGGTGTTGGTAGTGTGTCTTCTTTCTCTTGCTGCTTGTACGTGTGTCTGTACTTCACTTCCTTTCCTTCATCCATTCGTTTCTGAACTTGTTGTTCCTTGTTTGTATCCTGTTTCTGTTGGCCTGTTGTTGTCTTGTCAGGAAGAATCCTGAACCATGTTTCTCCTTGCCATTGTGTACCTGTAACCTCTCTGTTTGCTTCCTGTTTAGTGAGTGACTTGAACTTGTCTTCAAGCACTGTCTGCGTACCGTTTTCCTTGTAGACAATTGTTTTCCTGTAGTCGTCCAGTCTGTCAAATTGTACTGGACATGCTGATTGGTTGCCGTATCCTGGTGTGAACAATGCCTTTCTTCCTCTCTTGTGTACCCTGACCAGGTATCCTTGTTCGTTGTACTTCCAGAAGTCGTTGTTGCCTCCTTGCTGAGGTCGTGGTCCTGTTGCTGTAAGTGTGTGTGTTGGGGCAATCATTGCCACTTGTCCTTGTGGAGTGTTTTGTATCACCAGTTTTGTTCCTTCTTCCATTGGTGCTGTTTCCAGGTGGACGTAGAGTAGTCTGTCTTTACTTGTAAGTGGTGCCTGAAACACATCTCCTTTCTGTAGTGTAGACTCTGTACCTCTGAGGTTGAGTTCGAAACCTTGTTCCAGGAGTCTTGTAACGCTAACGATGGGGTGTCGTATGCCATCTATGACGTAGAATGGCATCACCAAGTGTTGTCCTTGTATGTTCTTGAAGCGCACCCATCTGTAGCCAAGAACCCAAAGAGGCTCATCTGTAACTGAGCGAAGTGGTGGTGTTTGTTCCTCTGTAAGAGGCATCAGTGGAAAGTCTGTACCAAAGGTTGGTGGACAGACATGTACTGCTGCGCCACTGTCTATCATGAGCTCGACTGTCTTGTAGGTGTTGAGGCCTGTGGCTGTGACTGAGGCAATTGTAGTTGTTCCAAACTCTACTGTGGAAATTGCCTGCGCTGGTGCTGTAGGCATCTGTGGTGGCTGTTGTTCCTGGTTGTATGCCGCTTGCTGTTGCTGGTCATATTGCCACTGTTGGTGATCTGGGAACCATTGTTCCTCGTAGTGCCACTGTTCTTGTTCTGTCCATGGTTGTTGGTAGTATGACTGTTCTTGGTTGTACTGGTCTGTGCCTTCATCCATGTCTGTGACGTTGTAGACTGCCACTCTGCAGTCTCTTGCATAGTGGCCCTGTTGACCACATTTGTAACATGTTCCTTTTCCTTTGCCTTTGTTCATTGTTGTACTTTGCCATTGTGGTGGTCCTTTTCCTTTGCTCTTTCCTTTGTACTGCATTGCTCCCTTGAAGTGGTTGCCATGTCCAATCGGTGTTGGACCTTTGCCTTTGTATCCTTGTTGGCTGTATCCTGTGTATCCTTTTCCTTTGTTGTGCCATTGTGTCTTTCCTTTTCCTTTGTTGTACTTTCCTTTACCCTTGTTGTTGTACTTTCCTTTTCCTTTGTACGTAGCTCCAATGTCCATGGGCTGTGCATCATTTGTGCTGCTGTTCATTGCCTGTTGTTGTGCTTGCATCTTGGAGAACGCTGTTGATGCTCTGTGGTATTCGAGAATGAGTTCTCGAATGTCTGCATATCGTTGTATGGCTCCTGCTCGCAGTTGTAGGTATTGTTGTAGTGGTCCTTTGGTCTCATTGAGTAGTATTGCAATTTTGATGTTGTCAGGTATTGGTGCTTGGTTGTCTCTTTCGTATCTTGCTATTTCAAATTCCCATGTTGTAAAAGACTCCTCAAATTTGTTTTCGTTGAACTGTGGTTTCAAAAGCTTTGTAAGGTACCCGACACTGCGTGTACCAAGTGGAATTGAAAAGCGTCTGTGTAGTTGTCTCCATGTCTCGAGACCAACTGCTTGTAGTGTATGTTGTCTGCAGAGGACAGCTGCTTGTCCTTGGCAAACGTTGATGAGTAGGTAGTGTAGGTCTTTGCTGAGTTGTATCCAAAGGTCTGCTTCTTCTCTGTTTCTTGCACCGTCTGCTAGAAGCTCATCTGTAACTGGTTGATCAAATGTTTCTGCTATCTGTAGGAGCCTGGGGAATTGTGAATTCTGTAGCCCCAAGTAGGCCACAAACTTGTGTTTCCATTCTTCGAATGTTGCGTACTCTCCTGTAAAGTGTGGTGGTGGTAGTTTGTATCTGTGCATCGCATTGAGGTCTCCTCCAGTTGTAGCTGCTGCCATGTTTGTCGTTGTGTGTTCTCACCTTAATGCTGTAGCTTTGTTGCCGATGTGTATTGGAGCTCACCCTGTCCTGTATCGTCCAGGGATCACTGCTCCGCTACCATGTTGAAATCAAGTGTACAACTTCCTTGTCTGTACTCTCAGCAGCTGTAGCCCACGCGTTGTACTTTTCACTGTAGCGCTCGAGTAACGCTAGCTCAAGGCTAACTCAAGGGCCCCGTATGGAGCCCAAATGTATCGTACCATGACATGTACTCAGAGTAGACCAACATGTTGTATCAGCAGCTGTATAGCTCAAGTACATGTGCAGGTGTATTCTTAACAATGATGATGATGATGATGATGATGATGTTAAGGGTGATGATGTTGAGGATGATGAGGTGGAGGATGATGATGTTGAGGATGATAATGTGGAGGAGGAGGACCGATCCTAAGACTGCGACCCAGAGGTTGTGCGAGCCTGCGCAATCGAAATGCGCATGGACATGTCACAAGAGCCATTTTATACAGAAATTGACAAGGAAAATGCCGGGGCCCAGATTGAGCACCTTGATCAAACACCGGCCTTAACCCCTACCAGCCCTGCCATAAGAACTCCTCAGTGTGGACACATTGCTTTGGGGCAAAAATGACACCCCATTCTTCCAGGGTTAGTTGTTTGGTTGGTTTCACTGACATGTTGTGCTTTTGGAGGTCCTTGTCTATCCGAGGCACACCCGACCAGCAAGTCGCTGAGCAATGTCAGCAATCTGCGCATCTGACGCCAAGCCCAATGCTTCCTCCGGAGAGACATTCTGATTTTGCCGTCTTGCAAAACTAATGGCCTCGTGCAAAGGTATTGGTCTTTTTTTCTCAGGTTGTCGGTTGTCCATGCTGCCAAAAAGAAGATGGTGAGCAAAGGCCAGGCTGCAAATGTCAAATGATTCACACATCTCCTGAGCCAGCAATTCATCACATGATTCCTCAAAAGATTTCCAAGCAGACTCTAGGTATTCTGCCTTGGACATATGCTCACTCTGTTCAGTGGCGCTTGGGCGCTGTCGCAAATCCAATAGGAGTAGCTCTGTGCCTGCACTCACCTGATCTAAGGATGACTGCAATGTAAACTCCGTGTCCCAAAACTTGTCTGTGTATGCAGTTCTCAAAGCAATGCTCGGCAGGTTGCTGCCAAGAAAACGGATCAAATTTGTACATAGCGATGTGGCTGCACTCATGTCAAAAGCAGCTTTCTCACTGCTTGTCCGGGATATCAAGTCAAAAAGAATGAGGCGAGTAGCAGTTTCATCTAGATCATGCTTCAGTCTTGATTTCTCAGCAGACGCACCAAGCCAACCACCGCCATTGATCAGGTCAAGCAGCAATTTGTCCCGTCCACTCCAAGCCTTGCACTTTCTTCGCACTGAACGCCAGTAGGAGCTTTCATCTTTGTTGAGATACATGATTGGAACCTTTGTTGCAAAAGAAAGGATGGTGAATGGAGGTGTGCTTCCCCACCTGGATTCATGCGGTAAGCATGCGAAAAAGCTGTGGACAATGCGCACTCCGATTCCAAGGCATCCGCGAGGATGATTGAGTGGCAACTGCCAGCGGTAAGATGATGTCTGACATGAAGGTCTCTAAGCTAGCAAGGGTTTGGCGTTCTTCGTCGAAGCTTCGGAATGGAGGTTTGTTGTGAAACAAATCAGGACTCATGCCATCTGAAAACTGAAAGTCAGTCTCCTCATATAAGTCCAACCAGGCTCGAAGACCGAGTGAGGGCGGCATCAAATTAATGACCAGTTTTGGCGCTGGAATCTCAAAAGCTTCAAGCAACTTTCGCAGAGTTTGGGGGCTGCTTCCAATGGACTCTGCCTGCGGGTTTGTGAGGAAGAGTACCTTGATCGGACCTTTGCCAACATCGATTTCTTCCACATCTCATACATGGTCTTAGCTTTCATTACTTGCAGTTTTTCGAGGTCGTACTCAAAAGCAGATGTCATGCCATCATCGATGGACATGTCCTCCAGAAGTACGGGTGGTTCAGCAGCTGGTTCACTACCAGTGGCAAATGATGCCGGAGCACCTGAGTTTATCTTCAGGCCTGCGTTGGCAGGCACCGCTTTCGCTTTCATCTTTTTCTTGGCTTTTTTTGGAGGGCCACTACCAGATTCATGGCCAGCAACAGGCATGCGCGCATTTTTCCGCATCTTTGGCAGATAAGCTGGCGGAACGGGTATTTCTGAGAGAGGGTCTGGGCTTCTTTTAAGCCTTTTGGACCGCTTGAAGCCATCAAGTCAAGACTTGGGGGAACGGTTCAGGAATGCTGCCACACTAGAAAAGAACATGACTCAGGTGTATTTAGTTAGTCGGCCTCATGAAATGGCACTCAAGCCTTCAGTTGGATTCAAGTGACTGTGATGCTTCCAAAATGATTATTTTGCAATCAAAAACTTTGCATTTTTTCCACACAAATTCACAAACGATTTCTGTATGTCATTATGTCATTTCGTTTCATACCATTTGATCTTTCCTCCCGACATCTCCCGACCTGAATGTGCAAGAATTGGTCAAATAGTGACTTTTCCGAGGCCGATGGGGCCGATGGGGCCGCTCCGACATATTCATATAGTATCTCAGCACAGGCACTGAATGGCACTGACAATCCATCTGAGATCCATCTGACAATCCATGATGAATCCATGATGAACTCGGTAATTTATTACAAGAAATTGCGGTGCAGTTCTCGAACAAACTTCTGGAATCTCACAGACATCTGAAGATCTACCTGGAATGCAACAGGACGGGCGCCAAAGTGTGTTTTGCTCCTGTATCCTACAATATCCTACATTCTGCAACTTGCATGTCGCAGGTTGGCGGACCCACCCATCGTATTGAAGGTGTCTTTGCCCCACTAACCCACTGATCAATACTGATCATACATCTTGAGTCCCGTGATGAGTAAAAAAACAGTTTGGCAAGGCCAACCCCAGTCCCAAGTTGTACTGCCTCATACTTCCAAGCGTTTGCTGTGATCCTGGAAGCTAATTAGCAGCTAATTGTTGATAAGAATTCAGCGAGGTAGAGGGAGAGGCAACTTTGCAATCCGAGGTGCATTATTGCCAGCTTTCTTCCAACGAACCAACATCCCTGGCTGCACTTGACACCTGAAAAGCTTCCCGGTGGTGCAATGCATGCCACAGCAAGTGTTCCCATCCACAACAGCCATCGTAAAACGGCATCCAATCAGCTGGACAAACCGAGAAATCCCAGAAGGATCATGTATTCATGATTATTTATGAATGACCATGCATGATTAATCATATATATATAATTCTGATATATTATGATATATTATGCATGATATTGCGAACATATGTGAACTTTTACGTTTCTGCTACCCGCAGGGCGCACTTGAGCAGCTCTGAAGGCTTCTTGGACATCAGCTTGCCTGGAAGCCGCAGCACAAATGGCGATGCTATGGGCTCCAGAGCGTTTCAATGAAAATGACGATCCGCGGGTCCGCATCTTATTGTGTCTTATCATGTTTTGTGAAGCCAAGTAGATAAAACTTTGAGTTGCAAACTGCCGCAAAGGGTCACTACATGTCCTACATGTCACCACCTAACGTAGCATCCTGGCCTAGTCACCAAATGTCACCAACTGTTCAAGTAGACAGCTCAACGAGTCGCTGCTGCTCAAGAGATCTCAAGAGCCAGTGCGATTACTCGTGGCTAACATGAGGCCCTGCGATTTAGCTTTCTCAACAAGTCTTCTGAGTCTTCTGTTCATGATCTGGTCGGGAACATCCAACAGGCGGTCCAAATCGGTCCAACAGGTTTGAAATTTACATAAATTTACCCAATCACCCCACTGAACTTCACGAGACTCTCAAGGAGGAGCTGGGCAGCCAGAAAAACATAGAAGAACCTTGTAAAACATCTCTCATGTGGTCCTGAAATCTTGCTGCTTCTCAAAAGTTCCCCAAAAGTTCCCCATCCCAGATCTCCGCCTTGAACTTCAACCTGAAAGGAACTGGTTGTGGCACCTTTCACTTCACCTTGGGCCGTTCAGACTGTTGGTGAATTCTTGAATTCTGGGGGTCAAGAGTTGTGGCAAGCTTACCGCTCGCGAATGGTCACCAACTTGTGGTATTTATGCTGCACATGTGCTCATTATGAAATGCTGGGCCGTGTCAACAGTCCTGAAGGGTGCTACTGCTACTTCTTTTGAGCTTATGTCAAGTTCATGTTCGTTCAACCACAAGTGACAAGGTCGTGGGGTCGGTCATGAGGATTCCTTAACTTGAACATGCTCAAACATGGAAAACTGTTGTGCATCAGAACCTGATCATGGTTGCGCCTGTCCTCATCTTTGACGAAAGTGATTTACACAAGAGAATTCTCGCGGATCTCTCTAAGTTGGAGCGGTTCACACACAGTTTTGGCCATTCAGGACAGGAGTTTTGAATTCATAGTGCTTTACCAATAATTAAAAAACCAGAATCAGAAATACAATCAATAGAATTTGACCCTTTGGTCTTGAATCTTCAACACGTGCACCTTCACCTGCAACTTTCCCGAGCAGGACGAGCCACCAACAACATCAAAGGATTCCGTTCCAGCCACATGGACCAGTGCGCCCTTCTGCAACTCTGCAAGACGAAGGCCACGAAGCGCCACCGTGTGGTCAGAACTGAGGGAGAAACGGCCATGATTCGCAGAAGTTTGGGACGTGTTTCGACCGTAGCACCAAGCAGGTGTGTGGTGACTGTGGCTTACATTTGATCTTGCAAAGGTATCTTTTGAACAAACAAATTTAAGTTGTGCAGACTTGCAAGTCATTCTCCTCTCTCCCAGGGAACACGCTGCTGTTAACATGCAGGATCCCTCCAAAGGAACCAACTTGCGCAACTTGCTGTGCTCGAAAAATGCATCGTGAGGCGGTCACAAACTGAGATCGTTGATCTACTGGTTACAACTGATCAGTTCACCGTTCCTCCTCATTTGAGTCACATATCACTGATGAGCATTCAACCGGATGATATAATGTATTCTAAATATATCTAAATATTGCCAAATGATCTCTCCATGCCTATGACGACTTTACAAAAACAACTGAAACAACATCAATAAACTAGTTACTATGTGTTAGAATGTTAGAAGCATTTAGAAACCATGAACCGCTTAACCGCTTTAAAACTCAAAACGCTCAAAACTTTATGGTTTCAAAATGTTTCAAAGCACCATTCTGCACCATTCTGCACCGAAACGGTGATCCCAGGAACTTTCCAGACTGGTCGCTGAAGCGGCAGCGGGCAGATCCATCCTCGCAATGGACGGAGCCATGGGAGCCATGGGAGCCATGGCCATGGCCATGGCATGACAGGATTGAACAAAGGATCGAACCATATAAGTTCATATATAGTTCATATATAGTTCATATATAGTTCATATATAGTTCATATATAGTTCATATATAGTTCATATATAGTTCATATATAGTTCATATATAGTTCATATATAGTTCATATATAGTTCATATATAGTTCATATATAGATATATATAGTTCATATATAGTTCATATATAGTTCATATATAGTTCATATATAGTTCATATATAGTTCTGTGAGCAAATAGATCCTTGTTCTGGATTACTTCTTTTCGGAGTCCCTGATGTGCTGGAAGTCAGGCTTGTCGTTCCATGAAACGGCAGCGCACGCAGCTCCCTTTTTACTCGCGGGGTCTTGAGCCATAAAGGCGTCCCATGCACACATTACATGTATGTCACACATGCGGTACTGCTGAGTTCCCTTTGACACCCCACATGTTCGTGGTGTCCTTCGGACCACGGACACGAGAGAGGGAACTTTGAATTAGAAGGCTTCTGCTACTCGAATTACGCCTATCTACATAAAACCTGCCATTCGGCTCCCCCTTTCCCACATACCCGACGGGAATAGTGGTTCCGGGTTCGCCTACTCTATGGCTGTCGATGCAATGGCGCGTCTTCAAGCTGTACATCGCGAATTATTGCTAGCTAACATCTACTTTTCTGCGTCGACTAGGCAGGTCACTCACCCGACGGGAGAAGTGGACCGCTTCGTCATCAAAGATTTACAATGCTAACTAACGAATTCACGTGCACTGTGCAGAATCTCGTGCAGATTGGGAATAATGAAACTCTTGGACCTAAGCGAATTAATCTACTGCCTCGCTCAGATTCCACTCAGTTGGTCTTTTCCTGATCATCTGTTCACAAAGACGATACACATCTTATAGTCCAGTGATCATTCGGAGGGACAGAGGTAGTTGGTTTACTGCTCACGGCGGACTTTCTTCCACTGAGGTGTTGTTGGAGATTTCTCCCAACCTGCCGCACGTTTCGGAGCAGCTTTCGGCGATGAAGGCTTCGCAGGTGGTGCTTTAGATGGTTCATAGGACTTCGGCATGGCCTTAGCCTTTGGTGCACTGGCCGATGAGGATGACGCTGAACCAGTGTCTTCAGGTTTCCGTGAAGGCTGTGCTGATGACTTGGCTTTCGCGTCTGCCGTGGCACGCTTGGCGGCGGCACTATCCCCGACTGCTTTGAATACCTCACTTACCACTTCGTCCCCCAGGTTCGGAGCCATCTTCATTTTCATCTCGGACTTTCCCCTCTGTGCCTCAGCCTCAGCCAGTTGAATAGCATAAGCCATCTTGCTGACAAAGTTTTGAGGTAGTGGAATACCGCATTGCTGGGCAGCAAAGAGTAGTTCCACCCTTTGTTCCTTTTCTCTCAGACTCAGATATACCGAGAAAGCTGGGAGTTCAATGCAGTTGGGGAAGCTGTGGCTCCCGGAACGAAAGAAGGTGTATGATTCATGTTCTGGAAAAGTTCCTTTCAGCAATCGTCGGAGAAAGTTGCTGATGGTCAGTCTCATCTCTTGTTTCTCCTTTGCATCAGCCTGCATCTTATTCATTGGCATGAGGAAACCTAAGGACTCGGGAGTGTACCCGGCACATACCAGAAACTCCATCATCTTTTCGTAAACCTCTAGAGTTTTGATGACAGGCATCATCATGTTTCTTGGTCGTCCAGAGTACATCTTCTCTCCCTCTGACCATGAGTTCTTCTTCCCCTTCTCCTGAAAGAGTTCATCCAATTCCAGCTCCGTCGGTCGCTTGAGGTTGCCATCCTGATCTTCGCCTGTGTAAGGGCAGAAGTCGTCGAGGTCCAGTCGGACTCGCTTGGTTGCCGTCATCAGCGCATAGTATTCCTCTGGGGTCAGAGTGACTCTCTGTTTATAGTAGAGTCTGAACATTGCGATGATCTTTGACATCACGGCATTGTCGTACAAGTGAGCCGCGGCCTCGGAGACATCATTGTTGACAAGTCCGTCTCCTGGCAAACCCTTGCTTCCGCACGCAAGATTCTTGGTCCATGCTGGTAGTTTGGATGAAGGTTCATTCTCAGGTTCGACGTCCATTTCATCGTCTTCTTCTTCTTCAACGATCTCGTCGTCTTCCTGCTGAGTTTCCTCCTCCTGATCCATTTCCTCGTCATCGCCTTCGTTGTAGTCGACCTCGTCAGGGTTGAAGCCATAATCGTTGGATTCAGATACGTTTTCTTGTGCTTGGTGGACCGTATCCTTGAACAACGATTCTTCTTGTCGACGAACCTCTTCATCGAGCTCTTTCTTTGTGGCTTCATCTTCATCGTCTTCAGGAGCTTGTAGTCGATATGGTCGAATTCCACAGCTTTCAAGTTCTGTCCAGCAAACTAGACATACTGCCAACTTCGTCGGCGTCTCATTGAGGCAATGGGGGCAATGACGGCAACCTGAAGTTTGCACCCTCTTGCGTTCGACAATGTAATCGATCAACTTGATGCGGGCCAGGTATTGCTCTTGTCCGCCAGGCTCAATGAGATTGTTCCTGAATTGGTTGACGATGTTCATTGCATCCATGGTGATCTCGTCATACGGTTGCTCTTCGGCGTCGATGCATTGACTTGCGACCCTCAGAATGGACTCCTTAGTGGCGACAGTCCTTGACTTGACAGTGCCTGACCGGACTACCTGGTCGTCGCCCGACGGAACGAACAACCGGAGCCATGTCTTGTTGTTTTGATCCTTAGGATCCTGAATCCATCCTCCTTTGATCGCTGAGAACGGGATGATCTTTGGTGAAACGATCTGTCCCGAATCGGTCAATCGACCACCGTACTCCACCATCAAGGTCTCGGTTGGGATGAAGAGGCAGATGTAGTCCCCCTTTCGCGTATCAACGCTCTTCGTGATGGTCCATGATCTATGATCCCATGGCACATATGGGTTGAAGAACGTGAACATCCGATGACCTTCTCCAAGACCTCCCGGAATTAATCCTTGCCTCCAAATGCTTCGGAGGTTGGTCTTCTTCGTGATGTGGAAGCAAACCGGTAATGACATGATGGTGTTAGGCGCGATCGGATGCGAGAGCAACGATGACAGCAATGAGACGTCATCTCTGGAGGATCCTTCCTTGTGCCCCGTTGGAGCGCGGACTGCAACTGGATAGAGCAGTAGCCCCTCGTCGGGGATGTGCGTGTCCGCATCGACTTTGTTGTCAATGCACGTCAGGCTGCTGCGATCAATCCTTGTTGATCCCGAACGCCAAGACTTGTTCACGCACACGACGTCCATATCGGGCACAGTGGAACATGATCTTGAACAGTAATGTCATGCGATAGTTCGCCTCATTGACATTCCATGCGCTTTGATCATTTGCTCTTCCTTTGGGGGCGAGGAAGACGTGCGGCCAGCGTGCGTACTCATGTCTCCAGATGGACTCACATTTGAGTACTTCCTCAATGGGCACCCAGCCGGCGTCGTCACAAAACAGACTCTGTGATTCTGATGCCTTCCCCACATTGTGCCGTAGGATCCTGTTCAGTGAGGTGCTCACCTTGTCCTCATAGCTGTCGAGCCGGTTGCCAGTTTCGAAGCGATAGTTGGCCGCATACTCCACACCGCCAAAGTAGAAGCAGTTGAAGAAATGGGCCCCCGTCGTAGGGATGATTTTCAAGAAACCATCTTGCGGCGCCTCGATTCGTTTGTAGAAGGGTTTTCTGATGTTGTTGTCGGAGTAGTTTACAAGGAACTCTGGCACTGACCAAGTGTCACCTCCTCCTCTGACAATAGCGTCCCGGATCACTTCGTTGAGATCAACGACGTTCTGGGGTCCCAGCTTTGTAACATCACGCCCTTCAATGCAGAACCTACCATACCAACAGAGGTTAAAAGACCACATAGACGAATTATGTGGCAGCCGACCAGATGGGCTAATTTGATGTTTCTTGACAAGTCAAGGGCATGCCGTACAGGACTGCAATCTTCCGGCTAAGAACATCCATTTCCCCATTTTGCCCAGTGATGCTGCTAAAAGCAGCAACATGTACAAGCATTTATCGGAGACATGGTGGCACAGCAAGCAAACATGGTTGCTAGAACCACGATCACTTGAGCCTGCACTGCTAGCTGGCAGCGGCGCTGCTCAAAGCAGCAGCATTCACGCATGTGATCATATTTGGGGCCTTGGGCGCCTATCAACAAAACACACGGACACACACACACAGATATATATATATATAGATAGAGTATATCACACTATATTTTAGGAAAAGTCGCAGGAATCTCTGGGGTGCAGCGCCGGGGCGTTTTTTCCCATTCATATTTCAACCCTTTCCGGCCCAAATACAAGCCACACAAACGGCATAGTGCTCCAAGGCATGCACTGAGATTGTCTTAGCACGTGTCTAGAAATCTGTTTGGGTCGACCTCAATAGGGCTTCACCCAACGTGCGTGAAAAAATGCTGCGGGGTAACCCACACCCCGAAATCGAAATCACAAATGCGCATGCTTGGTGCTGCTTGAGATGCACGGGCCATTGCATCACCTCATCATCCAAAGCCCACATTGACAAATAGATGAATCAGACGGCAGCGAGCCAGACAGGCTCATATTATTTCAGGTCTTTTGATTTAGAAAAGGCTGGATACTTTCACTTGGGGCTGCGCTGCAAGCAAGCATAGCGGTTACAGTTGACAGCTCCAGATTTTGTGCGTCGACGCTGGCACAATGACACGCAATCATAGGAAAGATGGTGGCAAGGCAAGCGGGCATGGGCTAGAACAGCTTTCCACTCAAAAAAGACAAATCCATACATACACGAAATGCAAGATTTCTCAACGTTTCGCCATCTCAATGACAATCAAAAGCATACCTGTCCTCAAACAAAGTTGCATAGGAACACGAGCGTCTACATGGCTGCGCACAACCAGTCTTTCTTTACACGCTGATTTTCA